ACCAGCATATGGTATTGTAATATTGTCAAAAGCAAATATTTTTTTTTATCTTTTTCTTTTGGCTCCGGAACGAATAGTTTAATCAGTGTTCATATCTATCTAATATTTATTTATATATTTGCTTGTAATATGTTACATTGTTCTTATAAATTAATTTACAGATTCAGCTACATTTTGAGCATGCAAATTTAAATTCATGTTAACATAAGTTTAACAAATGTTAACCACTTTATTTAAATTATTTAAATTGTTAAATGTCCAAAATTAAGTAATAATAATATGTATGTCCAAAAGTAAGATCAGAAAATTAAAATTACATGTAATAATAGTCATTTATCATTACATAGTATAAAACAAAGTCACTGTCGCTGTCTGTCCGTCCCTATGTATGCTTAAATCGTTAAAACTACGAAACGGATTTTGAAGCGGTTCTTTTTACTAGATAGAGGGATCAAGAGGAAGGTTTATATTATACACTAGCTGTTCCCGCGACTTCGTCCGCATGGATTATAACTTTATTTTTCTAAAATAAATGTAGCCTAAGTTACTCCTTCACATCAGCTACCTGCCAAAAAAAGTCTTGTCAAAATCGGTCCAGCCATTTCAGAGATTAGGCGGAACAAACTGACCGACAGACAGACAGACAAAAATGATAAAAAATGTTATTTTGGTATATGTACCGTATATAGATTCATATGTATGTAGTAAAAATCGGCTATTTCAATATTACAAACAGACACTCCAATTTTATTTATATGTATAGATGTACACCCGTGCGATGCCGGGGTGGATAGCTAGTATGAAATAATCCGTGTTTGAAGTCGAGCTTCTTGTATTCAGTGCTGAGGATATGTTGTAGTAATCGATTTATTATTTGTCTGAATATCTAAATATGTATAACTCAAAGGTGACTGACATAGTGATCTATCAACACACAGCCCGAACCACTGGACGGATCGGGCTGAAATTTGGCATGCAGGTAGACGTACGCATCCGCTAAGAAAGGATTTTGATTAATACTACCCCCAAGGGGATAAAATAGGGGATGAAAGTTTGTATGAAACTTTGTCAATTTTAAACTGATCGGGCTGAGACTTTGCATGCATAAAGCTACTATGACGTAGGCGTTCTCTAAGAAAGGATTTTGATAAATTCCACCCCTAAGAGAGATAACGCGAGCGAAGCCGCGGGCAAAAGCTAGTTTTAAATATACACTTACAGATACAAGGTGTCATAAAAATTACCTTAATAAGGCCTACCTATTACATAATACTACGATCTTTTGGCAGTCGTAACTTGGATAGAACAATATCTATTTACATAATGTAATTCCACAAATTGATGGTCAGTCAGAGAGTGGAATTAAGTTTGATGCTGCGCCTCGTTGCGCCCGTCTCTCGGCGGAGGAACGACTTAAATACTTTGATTAAAGTCTGTTGACTTAATGTGATTAACTTAGTGTTCTCTTGTTTTATACGCTTCCCTGAACTGGGAGGATTAAGAATATAACGATAGCTGGCAATTTACTGCCGTACAAAATTATATAACCGTATGCATGGCGATAGTTGTTTACGCACTGAATGTTTATTTAATATTAGATATAGATACCTATATAAGTACATAATATATTAACTATTTTTAAAAGCCAGTTCATTGAACTGTTTTTTTTTAAAAAGGAATTCAGTTGAGTTTCTTGCCAGTAATTCTCAATTGAATCTGTGCACTGAGCTGGATGTAGAAAAAATATTGACATAAAAAATTTGTCGTTCATAAGCGACTAAAATGTCCTACATGAATAAATGATTTTTGATTTAGATTTAGTATTTTATCATTCCGATTCTGTAAAAAAAAAATCCTTTTATGGTAATTAAAAATAACTAAAAAAAACAATACACTCACTACTATATATTTGACACACACACATATATATAATCTTATCTTACTAATATTATAAACGCGAAAGTTTGTGTATGTATGGACGGATTTTGATGAAACACTACAGTAACATAGCTTGACACTCTCACCATTGTTGTAAACTGCATTAAAATCATTTGAGTAATTTAAAAGACATAAGCGAATATACAACGGCCACGACTTTGTTTTATAGTATGTAAAGATGCATGTACAATTATAAATAACTAGCTTTTGCCCGCGGCTTCACTCGCGTTTATTTATCCCCTTAGGGGTGGAATTTATCAAAATCCTTCTTAGGGGATGCCTACGTCATAGTAGCTTATGCATGCAAAGTCTCAGCCCGATCGGTTTAAAATTGACAAACGTTCATACAAACTTTTATCCCCTTGGGGGTAGAATTAATCAAAATCCTTTCTTAGCGGATGCCTATGTTATAATATCTACCTGCATGCCAAATTTCAGCCCGATCCGCCCAGTGGTTTGGGCTGTGCGTTGATTGATCACTGTGTCAGTTAGTCACCTTTGAGTTATATATATTTAGATTATAATTAAAAAAAAAAATAATTCTATTGAGTTTCTTGCCAGTTCTTGTCAATTGGATCTATATACCGAACTGGACGGTAGGGAAAAAAATAAAATTATAATGCAAAATTTGACGTTCATAAGCGGCTAAAATGTCCTACATGAATAAATTATTTTTGACATTGAATTATTTTTTAGTGCAATGAATCGGCGAATGTAAGTCGGTACACAGGCCTCGTCTTGTGATCTATGTAGGTACTTTTACCACATCGGGTCAAGGCTCGCCTTCGTTTCTAGGCAACAAACGTACAACAAAGTCTTTAATGGTGCTCTAATTATTGTCGGCACGCCGTTGAAAACACTGAATTAACTATAGTTTAACACTTGTTATGGTATTTATTTATATTTAACTAGCTGTGCCCGCGACTTCGTCCACGTTTCATGCCTTCAGACAAAATATTCACCCGAACAATCCAAACAAAAAGTTTCATTGTTTTAGATTAAAACAAACAACCCTTCATCTCTTCGTTTAACCGTTTACGACTGTTAGGTAAGATAATAGGAGCTATATTTATAGTCAGTTTGTTTTATATAAAATTATTAAAATAATAGTAAATTGCAGATATATAAAGTTATGTAGAACGGTGTAAAATAATTAGGAATCAGGAGTACCTACAACAGTTTATTAGGATGTCTGCAGAAGAAGCCATTTTATTTTTTGTAGTTTTCCCGCGCGAAAATAATGCGCCACAGACGCATAATGTTGCACGGTGCGCAGATGCAGTACGATGACGAGCGCGTTATGGCTGTATGCACGATGTTAATACTATGAGTATTATACTATGAGTATACAAGACCCTTTTCTTTATTTATGTTCAATAAATAGCTTGAAAAATAAATTTCAAGCTTCAACTTTAAAAATGACAATACTGGATGTATGTACAAACTCTCATACCCCCTTTCAACCCCTAACAATCCTTTTTTCACATTAACAGTAGCCTATGCCATTTCTCAGTCAGTGTTTGTACAAATGTAATTTAAATTGGTTCAGTTATTTTGGCGTTAAAGCGAGACAGACAAACAGACAGAGTTACTGTCTTATTTATATTATTTGTAAGGATTTCTCGCACTAAAGTGACATATAGGTAAAAAAACAGTTACTATTTATTTTATTTATAGCCTCAAAAAATTTGATTGCCGAAATCCACAAAAAAATATTAACTTCAAACCTCTGTTACAAATTTATCTCATGATACAGATATGTACATCAAGTCTTATTTGGTTGTTTACACATTACTTAATTCAGAAAAAAAAAAGAATTCACTTATCTTGCAGATTGGCCATTATTTGCAATTAATTGCGAAATTTGGGGTTTTTGCAACGAAAATTGTAAAATTCGGTAAAAAATAAAATCTTACGTCACTAACGCTAAGCATGGTCAAATACGGTTCTATACTAACAAGGCGGTAAAGCTTTGCACCCATCTTCCAAACACCCTGTATAAACAAATTAACAATTATAAAACAAACATATACAATTAAACAAAGTATTAATATACAATACGAACTATACTAATGTAGTTTATAAGTTATTTTGTAACATAATATGGATGGATATCTTACTAATATTATAAACACGGAAATTTGTGAGTATGAATGGATGTATGAATGGATGAGGATGAATGAAAAAACTACTGAATGGATTTTAATGAAACTTTACAATAATATAGCTTCTCTACATCAGAACACATAGGCTATAAATTTATCGCGGTCATAGCAAGTCCCTAATTAATAAATAAAAAGATATCGACTGAACGCATGGCCTTGGTTATCTACTGGTCTTACTTCCGCGGGTTCGATTCCCCGCACAGTAGCAACATTTGTGTTCATGCGTATGGTTGTTTTGTTTTGGGTGTTTTTTATGTACATACTAGCTAATCACCCCGGCTTCGCCCGGGTGTACATGTATTATACATATAAACCTTCCTCTTGAATCACTCTATCTATTAAAAGAAACCGCTTCAAAATCGGTTTCATAGTTTTAAAGATTTAAGCATACATAGGGACGGACAGACAGAGACAGCGACTTTGTGTTATACTATGTAATGATGTGTCTAGTATAACAGAAGCTCTGCTTATAAGGTGCCGAGTGAATTGTCCAGAGTTAATATATTTTTTCCCTCTGATCGATTCCCCGTCCGATTCAAACGGGAATCGACGGCCTGAGCCGAGGTTCGAATCCCTAGCGGTGCCCTCAGACTAAAGTCGTATCCGTCAGGCGGGAGTTGGCCTTCAGCCGCTCCATAAGTCCTTCCGCGGGTTTGGAGTGTCATCTGCACTCGCCCCCTAACGTCCGGTGAATCTGTAAAGCCCAGCTGCGGCCAACAGCATTAGAGTAGTTCGTAAAAAAATTATATTAAAAGTAAATAACAACACCCAGACCGATAAAAGCAACTCATGAATCGTTCGAGGAATCGAACCAGCGACCATCGGAAGTAAAGCTGTGTGCTAAATCACTAGACCGTTAGAGTTAAAATTAACGGAAGTAATTTTTCTATTTTTAAGGTATCTCTACACTGTCGGGGTGTGGAACTCCAGACCATTTGGAGCGACTACCAGAGCTGCCCGCAGCTGAGGAAAAGCGTTTGCGTCGAGCTGCACATATCCTTCAGCAGCGGCTGATCCTTCGCCAGTGGCTTATAACGCACCGTCTCCAACATGCTTATTCCAAGTAAGTAGGCATTACTATAATATCAAATAAACATAATGTTCAATCTTTTAGAAATTCAGTTTTTATTTTTGTCACTAGATGGCGTTGCTCAATTGCTACAACGCGCTATGTTTTCGTTTTTGAGTTACTTATAAGACGTAGCCGTTTTCTTTCAGTATTCCGACTCCTCTGATCGATCCGCTTCAAATTTAGACAGACGTTAAAATTACGATGGCTTGAGCCGAGGTTCGAACCCCTAAACCTAGGTGCCCTCAGACTAAAATCGTATCCGTCAGGCAGGAATTGACCTTTAGGCGTTCCATTAAGTATTCCGATCGATCTCACGTACAATTCAAACAGGGATCGAAATTACGACGGCCTGATCCCAGTTTCGAACCCCCTAGCGGTGGGTGCCCTCAGACCTAAACTATTATCCATCAGGCCGTTGAGTTGACCCGTCAGCCGCTCCATAATTCCTTCCGAGGCTTTGGAGTGCCATCTGCACTCGCCGATGAAGCCGTAAAGGCCAGCTGCGGCCAACAGCATTAGAGTAGTCCAAAAAAATTAAGTACAGGGCTTTTACCTAGAAGGAATCGAACCAACAACCATCGGAAGTAAGGCGGTAGGCTAAACCGCTAGACTACCAAGGCTGAAACTATTATGAAAAACATGCCATTTTAAATTACCTTGAAAATAAAACGGCAAACATAGTGCATGTTTAAAAAAGATTTCGTGCGGCAAATAATTTGTACTTTGAACAAAGGACTTACACAGACCTTTGACCTTACCTATACCTAACGTGACCATTTATTATTTGACTCAAAACGGGACATTGGTTTATACATATCAACAAGCTGTTCCCGCGACTTCGTCCGCGTAGTATTTAACTTTATTTTTGTAAAATAAAAGTAGGTTAAGTTACTCCTTATTACATCAGCTACCTGCTAAAAAAAAGTCCCGTCAAAATTGGTCCAAACATTTCAGAAATTAGCTAGAACAAACAGATAGACAGACATATTTATATTCATATGCAAGTAGTAACAAACGGTTATTTCAATATTACAAACAGACACTCCAATTTTATATATATGTATAGATAATCAACATCACAACCGGCCCGCTTGACTATACAAATTTTCAGTTTCCGAAAACGGGACATTTTTGCGTCCCAGAGTTCATTCTGGGGACACCGTGACTAATTATAAAAAGGGACAGTCCCGTTTAAAACGGGACGTATGGTCACATTACCCACACTTCGTACCTATATCGCATACTTATTATAATACTGGCTTAACTCAAAAATTACAAATTTTGGAAAGTCCACATTGTAACTGTGATATTTAAGTCTAATTTAAAAAAATTATATATTCTGAATTACACCAGTATTGTACTAGATTTGCGATATAATGCCACGCCTGAACAAGAATAGATATAATACATTTTTGTTGCGTGTCTTTGCTAGTCTAAATATACATATATAACTCAAAGGTGACTGACGCAGTCATCTATCAACACACAGCCCCTAACCACTGGACGGATCGGGTTGAAATTTGGCATGCAGGTAGATGTTATGACTTAGGCATCCGCTAAGAAGGAGGATTTTGATTAATTCTATCGCCAAAGGGATAAAATAGGGGATGAAAGTTTATATGAAACTTTGTCAATTTTAAACCGATCGGGCTGAGACTTTGCATGCATAAAGCTACTATGACGTAGGCATCCCCTAAGAAAGGATTTTGATAAATTCTACCCCCAAAGGGATAAAATAGGGGATGAAAGTTTGTATGAAACTTTGTCAATTTTAAACTAACTTTGCATGCATAAAGCTGCGAAGCCGCTAAGAAGGGCAAATGCTAGTAATACATAAGAAAGAAAGGAAATACGTTTATTGATACAGATTAAATAAAACAACAAAACAATAACAATTGGTTCATTGATTGTGGTACAGAGTAGATCTCCGCTCAGCATATGCCGTGACGAGGTGCCGCGATGGTTTTTTTTTATGGATGATAATGGAATGGTGCACCCGCCTGCGCTAACGGTTTACGCTGGCGGACCACCAGTGGAGAACGATAAGATGAGCATGAGGTCAGGTCAGTTAGCCCATCGTGACAAATTCACCAAAAATTTATTACGGTGATTTCCAGGGCGAACCGCGTGGAGGTCAACCTGACATGGTACATTGCTAGCAATGGGAGCCGCGATGGTATTCAGTGGATACCTTCATACATACTATTATTTAATATTATAAACGCGAAAGTTTGTTAGTATGGATGGATGTTTGTTACTCTTTCAGGCAAAAACTATAGAACGGATTTTGATGAAACTTTACAGTAATATAGCATATACATCAGAATAACATATAGGCTATAAATTTCAGGCTGGTGAAACCGTAAATATATATATAATAATCGCAAATTTGCATTTAAAAATGAATCTATATTATTGTAAACAATATTTGAAAAGAATACGAGTTTCTTGTCAGTTCTTCTCAGTTCGAACGAGCTCAGTTTCTTGTCAGTTCTTCTCAGTTCGAACGAGCTCAGTTTCTTATCACTTTTTCTCAGAAGGCACTTCGAACTGACGGTAGATTTGATATATCATAAGAGTCTGTTATAGACCTACCTTGAAATAACAGTTTTTACTACATGCATATGAATATAAATAAGGTATATACACCAAAATAACATTTTTTGTCTGTTTGTTCCGCCTAATCTCTGAAATGGTTGGACCGATTTTGACGGGACTTTTTTGGCAGGTAGCTGATGTAATAAGGAGTAACTTAGGCTACTTTTATCTTAGATAAATAAAGTTAAATTCCACGCGGACGAAGTCGTGGGTACAGCTAGTAATATAAATAAATCTGGACAAAAAAATGTTAGGGACTGTATATACTTTCTTAGTGAAAAATATATAAAAAAATAAAAGTAATTTGAAGTTACAATCATACACTTTCTTACAAACAAGTTTGGACGCCAACGCGCACGTGACTCACCTGGTGTTTCAGGCGTCCATAGGCTACGGTAACCGTTTACCATCAGATGGGCCGTATGCTTGTTTGCCACCTACCTGGTATAAAAAAATACCCCCCCCCCCCCCCCCCCCCCCATTCTTACCTGGTATTGATTTTTTGTAAATTTCTAACTGTAGTAAAGTTTTGTGTTAAAACATAAAGTTTAGTGTTAAAAACATATCTTGACCAGATCGTCGGTCCACCTTGCTGGAGGCCTTCCCACGCTGCGTCTTCCGGTTCGTAGTCGCCACTCGAGGACTTTATTGCCCCAACGGCCATCTGTCCTACGAGCTATGTGCCCTGCCTATTGCCACTTCAGTGTCGCAATTCTTCGGGCTATGTCGGTCACTCTGATTCTTCTGCGGATCTCCTCATTTCTGATTCGATCACGTAGGGAAAGTCAGAAAATCACCGCTTTAGAGCATTAATAAAATCTCCGTTCACATAGCACTCTTATCAAATATTACAGGCTATATCAGCGCCACCGTCGTGGGGAGGGTGAGATCGCAACCCTAATAAGGTTCACACATAAAAAATGCATCAACACAAATACAATCGTGTTCGAGACTGAGTTTAACGAGCGAGGCAGCGTTTTCATATTCATTGCTCAGGCGAATACTGAACTAAACAAACATACAGCACACCAACAAAGTTATACACACATTTCGTCACATGTCATTGTTATTTATTGACGACCTCGGTGGTCTAGCGGTCTAGCACACCTCTTTACGACCAATGGTCGCGAGTGCGATTCCTCGCACGGTACAAACATTTGTATTCATGAGTGTGATGGTTTGTATCGGTCTGGGTGTTTCCTATGTATAATATATATGTATTTACTAAAAAAAAAATATCTGTATTTGTATCAGTTATCTAGTACCCATAACACAAGCTTTAGCTAGCTTAACTTGGGTCTAGATGGCGCTGCGTGAATTGTCCTGAGATTATTATTATTATTATTATTAGCAACTTGTCTGTATGAGCACCCAAAAACAAATATATACAATTAAATACAATTGGAGTGTCTGTAATTTCAAATTATCAGCTTTTCACTATATACTATAGCTGGAGGACGTCCTCTACCTCTTTTATGTTCGGGTTGTCGTTAAGCTTTTTTAATCACATATTCCTTGTCACTTCGCATTATATGGCCATACCATCTGATCGACTATGACGGCATCTGAGATGGTATATTGCTAGAAATAAATTCACATTCAAATTCAAAATATCTTTATTCATGTAAGTCTATTCCAGACTCTTATGATATGTCAAATCTACCGTCAGTTCGGAATGATTTCGAGATGAGAAGCACTGACAAGAAACTCAGCTCGTATTCTTTTCAAATAAATGTTACAATAAGGTTATAAATTCACATTACTAACAATCCCCTTCCCCCTGTTTTAATATTAGTACAGTTTAAGTATTGATTAATACGATTATGTAAAAATACGGTTAATATTAGTGTAGGTTAAGTATTGATTAATATGATTATTGACGACAGGCGACACATATAAGCGGCGTCGCGACGCACCTATAATATTTGAGTAGATTAGGTAGACAATAAGTTGTGTGTTGAAATTGGACAATAACTTAGAAATAATATTAGTTTTTAAAAGTGCTGTTTTAGAATAAACATCGATTCACTGTTTAAAACTACGATAACGGATGAACATCTGTTTGGGTACCAGCGTTCATTTGGCATTCATTGTTTAGGAACACAATGAATATTTGTTGGCTTTTGTGATAAGATAACACCGTTACTATTTTCTAGCCATCGGGTTTATGATGACCGTAGGGTTTCTTATTGTAAACATATTCTTATTGTAGACTAACGGACGGAACACGATCTTTTCATGTCTTTATGAATATTGTCCAATCCGTGTTTACAGTGCATTGTAGTTAGGCAAGGAAATTGGTTATTGCACCAATGTTAAATATTCTTGGGTAGAGTTGTAAAATGCAATGCATTCTTTATGAGTAACTGTTAGTTTGTGAGAATAAATAAGTA